TTTTGCAAAACATACCAAATTTACGTTGTTTGAAAGTCAATTTGTTATGTAATTTACTTGATGGTCATCAATGGGAACAAATCATTCGTAATTACTTGCCTAAACTTAAAGTATTACGACTTAGCATGAGAAATGTACTTTCTTTGAATGAAAATATAGAAGAACAAGTTGATGAATTAATTAATTCATTTCGAAGTTCATTTTGGATTGATGAACGTAAATGGTTTGTTCGATGTTTCTCTTCAGAAACATTCATAAATCTTTATAGTTTATCTAAAGGATGTTATTATAATTATGAAAAGCCTTCAGATTTATGGAGATCAACATATCCACATGATAATCAACAAAACTATTACAATGACCTAACCATTATCTATGATTATACATTTTTTGATCAATCCTTTCCGACAAACATTTATTTATCTAAGATTAAGTTTCTTGTCATAAAATTTCCTATGAATAATCAATTTTGGTCCATTGTTCCAAATCTAAAAGAACTCTCCGTATTGATTATATCTTCTTATCGTGATATATTTCAAACTGAATTTCAACGGTTACTAAATCGAGCACCACATCTCGATCATTTACGTATTGATCAAGAGAAATCATTACCATTGCAAAAATCATTATTTAATTATACAAGTACATCGATTCCTCAATTGTCTTTAGAAAATTATTACTTCAATGAAGAAGAATGTATTGCATTGACTCATTCATCATTGATTATTCAATGTCAAGTACTTTCTATTCAAGTGATATCTCGTCAAAGTATTATTATTCTTGTCAAAAATATAAAGAATCTTCGACGATTAGATATTCAATGTGAAGATGATCTTCATGATGGAAAAACACCCAACAAACATGATCTGGTTCAATGGTTAAATGATCATTTATCATCAATGTATCTAATTTTCAGAGATTCAGACGATACGAGTCGTATTCGAATATGGATTTAATAGTAACAGCGACAACAACTATACCAAGTGATGAATTACAAATAGATATTATTTAGACTGATTATTCAACTATAAACATATAATCTTTTTGTCAAAAATGTTTGTTTTTGCTAATAAAAGAGATATACATAGGATAACATTCTAGAAATCTTTTTTTTTTGCTACTATCGTCCAAAAATAAGAATTTGTATAATATCAAAATGAATATATATGGAAAAAGTTGTGTAGAATAGATTTACATTTGAGAAGATTGAAGATAGTGACATTCAAAATGAGACTATATTAGAAAAAAAATTTTTAGAAAAAGGTCAGTCTTCAGCTATACTCAAAATTAATGAATTCAATTCCAAGGAGATAATTACAATGTCTAATTTGTAAAACAAAGATATCCAATCAATAAGAAAGATTGTAATAAGATGAAATGCTGATTTTTTTTAAAGATATGTAGAAAAAAAAAGATTTCTGGAATGTTATGCTATGTATATCTTCCTTATTAGTAGGGATATAGACGTGAAAATTACGGTAATATTCGCCTGGTTACAAGAGATTGGATGGCAACGTTTGAACGGTTTTGGATTTGTTAGAAGTGAAGGGTGCGGGTGTGGATGTTTACTGTCACTATTATTCATAATCATACCCATATCCACACCCTAATGCTTGAGGCAGATTAAATGTTTCAATCACTTACTACATTGTATTAAGAAACAAAATATACCACAAGATGTGACGTGAAAAGCTCTACAATTTATAAAGAACAATTTATTTTTCTCTTTGCATGATTTTTTCGGGGTAGCGAACATTGGTCACACAGAATTTTTTTTTTTGACAAGAAGTACACAATTAAAATAAGCTTTACTTTGAAGATTGTAGAACTTTTCACGCTACATGTTGTGGTGTATTTTATTTTTTGATATAACGTATTAAGTGATTGAAACATTTAATTTGCCTCACCCGTTAGTGAAGTTTTACACAAAAACAATTCTTATGAAAATTTTATTATTATGATACCAGTTGAGTAGGGATGAAATAGCACAAAAAAAAACAGAGCTTCATTTTCTCTATCACCTCATAAAAAAAGAAAATTTCTTCAAGCCTTCTATACAAAATTGAGATGCGGCTGCTACTACTTTTGAATATCTCTAAGTACAGAAGAAAAAGAATAGAATGTCATCACTTCATCAAATAATTACAACATATCCAATCAGTCTATTCTATTAGAAAAGAATGATCAACAAATATTTGTTTATGTATATGTAATATTTTCAGTCGTTTTTTTTAGATTATAAACTGAAATATGAATAAAGACAAACTAAAATTAATTTTCGAATATCCATATTAAAAGAAATTAAAACTTCAATTCAATAGCGATCAAGAAACGTAAGTTAAAAAAACATCTTCTGTTAATATTACTTTTTCATCTAATATATCAATTTCTTCGATCAAAAAATTCTCTAATAATTTATTCTATGAAATATTTGATTTCCTTGATGCATTTAGAATCTATCAAGTATTTTCAAATCTTAATCATCGTTTTCAATGACTACTTGATTCTTCATCTCTTTTATTTAAAATAAAATCTGTTTAACCAACATTCGAGAAAACATATATGAATAATTTCAAACAAATCATGCAATTTACTAGACAACAAGTATTTTCAATTGACTTGTCTTTTCGAATCACAACCAGATGTATTTATGTTACTTCTTCCTCAATTAATTTCTTTACCTTATATGTTGTTTCTCATTTTTCATCAATATGTTCAATGTTTTAGTAGATGAAAGTGATTTTTATTGAGTAATTATGATTTCATCAATGTTGAAATATTACGAATATACAACAAATAATGTCGATTTTTCTATCTCATGACTTATTACTACTGATAAACAATTTATTCCTATCAAAAACCTTTTTATTAATCATTATTATATGTTCAAAGAACTTGCTATTATAACATCTTATAAAGCTCAATTTCGTCGTCTGAATTTTCGATATATCTATAAAGATAATCCAATTGTGAGGTTTATGGGAGTGGGCGTGCATATTATATTTATTCCAAACATTCACCCTCAAAAATTCCTTGTTCAATTGTTAAAATTCATACATTAAAAGTACTATCACCCAAATCATATAATACGTAATGCAATAAGACCAACAATAATACCAATATCTTTTGTTGCTTAACATTAAGAATCATTAAAATTATCTGAAACAGTGATAACAGCTTCGGAAACTTTTCCCAAGGTAATTTTCTGCTATTTCTTTCGTTTTGATGAGACTTCTTTAGATATTTAATTTTAAGTTTTGATTTTCTGTTATGATTAATAACTTTCAATGGCCAATACTTCATATTAGTTTGTACATTTGAATCATTAAATTTTCAACCAATAAGTTATCTGGCATCAAAAAATCGTATTAGTTAGATTCACAGCTACTTTATCTTTCGTTTCATCACCAAATAAACATTTCGTATTCGGAAATACAACATATGACAGTGTTATTCATAAGAATTGTCATTTTCCTTTATTTACATTAAATTTAAAGTAAAGTTGATTAAAAGGAAAAAAACAAAGACTATTTGTCTCTATATCCAAATGAATCAAAAGAG